TGTTACTTGCCCATTTTCGTTTTTTGAATTCACTTCACTAACAAGTGCACGTAGAAGAGGTTTGAAAAATTGTTCTTCAGAAAATGGGATCTCTTAAGTTAAAGATTGGTTTCTTACATAAGATTCATCATTCTCTGTCTCTCAACCAGGGAGTGTGAGCACACTTTTCTGCTGATAGGAGAAGATAAGAAGGACAAAGGGAACAAGCCAACAGATCGAACATGTGTCAAGGTGTAACTTCAACTCTGGTCCTCACTTCCCTTCTTGATTATTCACTTCACCTCCTGGGTGGAGAAGCTTGGCTACACATTCATTTGAAGGAATTCCCATTTCCCCATTCTCCTATTTTACCCGTGGCAGAGTGTTTGGAGTAGTTAAAATGTCCAAGACGGATCAGCGAAGGTCTGTAATAGTAGTTTATATGGAGCCTGCAATGAATGTATTTCTCGGCGATTGTTATACTTCGTTTCCATGTCTTTTGACCTCGAGCATTTTCGTTTTGTCTGGTTGCCGTTACAGCCGCTTTACCAGATAGACGTGCTAAGGATGTCGAGCATTTGTGGGGTACTCCTTTTGGGGAATCACGCACAAGGACGCAAACCCATATAGCTTCAGGCGAAAAGGAACTCGGGGACACTATAAACAAGGTAGGTATTTGGTCAAAGTAATGCCCGCGAGGTGGTGAAGATACTTGAAGGTTTTGGAAACTATCTAATCCTTCCTCTCTCTAACAAGGGAGGTCGTTCAGGGTGTGGAGCGCTTTTTCAAAACGGTTCCTTGCATGCTGTAGGGGCTCTCACGGGGACTACAGTACTATGTTTCATTTTCGCTGAGCGGCCCCCTGAAGGTCAAAAAATGGTAAATAAATGGTCCAGGGTTCAGTCCCTCCTGATGACAAAATTTTTGCATTCGGACTGGAGCCTCGAAATTCGCTCAAAATAGCGCCAGCACCAATATTAGGTACCGTATTCATTATCAAGACCATGAATGAGTACTGCACTCGAACTATTGCTAGAATCTAGCGGAAAAAAGTTGTAGTGCCAAAAAGACGCCAAATGGCGCCTAAAAAGCGCTAATTGAAGCTATCGGAAAAGATTGATGTCATATTCATGATCAGGGCACTCGATATTCTCTAAATTAGCAGTTCTAGAGAAAATTGAGATTTTGACCTTGGTCCGAAAAATTGGCCATTGATAGGTCAGCCCGTAAGTACCTGCAGCTGGTGATCTGGAAACGAATTCCTTGTTCTCCTTCTCAAATAATGAGAAGTTCCAATACTAAATGGACAACGGCAGACACCCAAGCTGGTGATGGACAACAAGACACCATGATTTCGAAGTCGACAGATTCCTCCCTCCATCAGGACGTGGTATATTGGACCCACGGGTCCTCCACTCGAACGGCTGCATCTCGATAGCTGGATCGATTCCAAGGACTGGGACGTGATGGAAGATGTTTAGTATAAAATCGAATTTTGGTTCTCGTGAACCAACAAGGCGTTCCGCTTGATTTCCGCGCCGCGCACGTCTTCAACTTGCTCGCTGGCGTGCATGACGACCTGTAGCTCATGGTCACCCCCTTTTGCGAAGTTAGGTCAAAACCTCGATTTTTCCCGAAATTCTGCATGTGGGGGTAAATCAGGGTCCTGATCACGAATATGGCTTTCGTTTTTGGCGTAGGCGCCATTTGACGACAGTTTGGTGCTGCAAACTTATCCCGCCAGTTTTTATAGAAAATCCATTTGTAAGAGCTACTGGTTGTCCTGACTGTGAATATAGCGTTAGTTTTGACTCTAAAGCAATTCTGCGTCAGTTTGGGAACGTTTATCAAAAATGCAAAACGGTTGCCGTCGGGTAGACTCGAACCACAAACCCGTGCAGACTCGAGGCGGACACACTATCCACTTGACCACCGCTTCGCTGCAACGGATATGATGCCGACTACGCTTATGAAGCCCTCGTACTTCCTTCAGCACTACCACTGACAGAACTTCAATTTTGAGCGAATTTCACGCTGTTTTCGATACCGTCTTCATCAGTACCCTTCAATTTGCGGGTGATCTTTTCCACAAGTTCAAAGCACCACTCCAAGGCACTGAAAACCACCCATTCTTACCAATTTTTTTCGACCTTTTTCTGACCTTCAGGGGGCCGCTCAGCGAAAATGGAACACAGTAATGTGGTCTACGTGAGAGCCCCTACGGCATGCAAAAAACCGTTTTGAAAAAGCGTCCCACACCCTGAACGACCTCCCTTGTAAGAAGATCGGTGGGTGGCTCTCATACATTTCGGCCTAGGTCAGAGGCCACCATTCCGTATGTCGTTTCCCCACGTTGATGTTTTTCAACAGTTTCAAGGTCACCGCGTCCATTCTCTAGTATTCTGTCATCTTCTGCTCACTCACTCGACGCTAAAGCTGCCAGTACTTCAATATCTCCGAATGCTCTGATTTCTGCTTGTTGGATCTGATTATTTAACCTGTGCATTCTCACCTAAGGCTGGCGTTCCCAGGGAGATATATTAGCACCTGTCAGCGTGTAGTTTGACCAGACTTTTAGCTCAAGTCATCTGTGGTATGCCACATGAGAAGGCTACTCACGCCGGGATCTCTCGAGCACGGGAACCCTTCTGTCAATCTTCAGATACTGGCATATAGTACACACTGATTCCATGATCTTAAGCAAAGTTAAGCTTTACTTGGCCATTTTTTAGTTGATTTAGTTAATTTTCGTCGCTGTGCTACTGCTTGTATACTTTTTGCGCAAAAACACAGTCAAAATAGGCTGTTCATCCTAATCGTAAGGGTTGTAGTGTTTTCGGAGTAGTTTTTCAACTAGAGCCCTATCACATAGAAAAAAATATTCACTCCGCTGTTGAGGACTAATTTTTTCTACACGGAAGGCCTATCCTGAAATCTGGTCATCCAATGTTGTAATGGTGATATTCATCTGTCATTATCTTTATCATGGTCTGCATTTCTACATGAAAGTGAGGCCTACGCCACCTAGCGCTTGCTTTTGTTATGACTTCTGTTTTAATTTTATGACTTTAGGTATTAGGTTGGTCCATACTGCTGGCGAGTGTTGATTGCTCTCCTTAGTAATTATTTGCGAGCACATACGAAAAACTGATTTACAGACCCACCCCTTTCCAAGGATGACTGAGTTAGGCTGACAAATTAATTCGTCAGAACCACGCATTTACTCTGCTGAACCAAGCTTAACAACTAATCTAGCGTGACTTTAGATTCTCCTATACATTTCTCAACTCTATCCGGATTACTGTTTAGTTATTTCATTCTCGTTTCTTTTTCTTCATTTTTTGTTAGCTGCTCGTAAAATAGTTTACAGTCTTCATGTTCTGACGCCTTGCCCTATTCCTTACTGCTAGCTTTGTCCCACTGTCTTGGGTGTGCACTAAAAGTAGTGCTTCATGGGTTGAAATTGAAGTAAGCCGTCATTTCGGCGTTCATGTCCTTATTTTTAGGAGGGATTCAGAACAGGGCCGATAGTACATAGGTGACACAAGGACCAAGCCAAAGAGACGAGGGAAGAGTGCGAATTGTTTACAACCCTCCCCATAACTCTCTTCTCCTCCCTCCAATGGCTTAGTTCCATGTCCAGTAATTGTCTGCCCTTCTGTGAATGACCAAAAATAAACAATTAACTGAATAATTAAAAGCGTCGCTGACCTTCTGGGTGTTTCGACTCGTGTTTCTGAGAACTTAAATCTTTGGCATCTAAATTCCAATTTCACTTCATTCATTTGCCTTTTCCTGTGTATACACATTATTCTGTTGTTTAAGCCTTCAAAATCCTTTTCAGCATGATTTTTCTAACGATCTTCCTGTTACTGGTCGGTTATGCATTCCTGAAGACGTGGCTGACTCGAAGATCGCTACCACCGGGTACGTCTCAATGCATGTGGCCAAAAAAATCTGCAAAGTACATCCTTCTCTACGAAATTCTCAAAACTGTTCTATAAAGGCCTTTTAAAACCTACACGGGGGATGCAATAAGAAAAAACATTTTGTCTCCACGTTCAAATAGATTTAATCACACTTTGCCGAATTCAAACCGAATGCTCCTCGCTTAGAATTGGAAAACACATTCTATTGTATGATATACTTCACAATGGCCTTCTATGTTGGACCGCATCAGAAAAAAAAATATGCTCCGGAAACATGATTGGTGACGTCTAACCAGGGTCAACCGTCACGTTCGAACATTTTCGGGATTTTTGCGACCCCCTCCCTCTCGAGAGGTCCAGTTGCGACCCCCTCCCAATACAACCAGCCTTCCTCCACCGCGACCTCTCCCTCTTCTATAGTATTTGATTAGTATTGAACTGAGACCAGTTGACACAGCCCAAAACCACCGCGAAACCCGAAACTCCACCCACTTTTCCCCCAAAAACAGCGTCGAGCGGGGGGGGGGGGGGTAATTATACACGCACCTATGCCCTGCGCCCCTGATCACCAAAGCGCGCAATGCGACCAATGCGACCCCTCTCCCCTCCCAGAACACAAATGCGACCCCCCCCCGTTCGAACAGTTCGAACGGACGGTTGACCCTGCGCCCTCAATCGTATCACCGTTCGTCTAACCAATACTAACATTTCTGAAAGCAGTGTGGGTTTGGGTGTCTCCTCGTAGCTAGAAAAACGGCCGAGAGCTTTGAAGAGCGCGAGTTTTAGGAGGAGGGGGGGGTTTGCATAGTTAGAGCTAATGTTTTTGGGAAACTATTCAACGGTTAACCGATTCAAGAAATTATGTGAGAGCTTCAGACTGGAGCAATTACGGTAGGTCTTTTTGAGCTCGACGACGACGTGACTGATAACTTCATACTCTGAAGACGGTGAGAGGGAGGTATTGCTCCTACAATAGAGGGCCATTGAGGATATTAACGCTGAAGAAAAGCCGCAACTGAAGCATCTATAAGTATGCTTGGCAAAATGTTGTAGAAATGATGCTCATACACTCGTAGAATTCATACGCTTTAGGTGAAGGAAAAAAAAGCAATTTGGGTTTTCTTCGAAATTGCCAACGAAATTTTTTATGGCATTCCATCATGGGTTGGATTCTCCAGAAGTTTAAATTTTGTAGGTCCGATTCCACTTCCGTTTGTTGGAAACATGCACCTGCTGGCATATAAAATTATGGTCCAAAAGAAGGATTTCGCGGAATCAATGAGGGATTTCGTCAAAGTTCGTACCCTAACTACATTCTGGCCTTGTCTCCTTTTGATCCTATGATTTTGGAAATTTAGGATTACGGTAGTGTGCATACATTCTGGTTTGGACCCGTAGCAACGGTACAGATTTGTGATTATCCAAGTGCAGCCGATGCAATGATCAAGAACGGAGCTGCCACTGTGAACAGAGCTTTACCTTTTCTGTTTGAGAGCTCTCGAGGTGACTTACATTTCAATAGCTCACTACTCATTTCCTTGTGGAGCTAGAGATCTATCATGCTTCTACAGGCGGTCGAGGACTTATGGCCTCTAGAGACCAGTTTTGGACGGAGCAACGGCGCTGTACGAACTGGATTTCACGTGAGTTTCGAATTATTCGGCGAACTAGAAAATTACTTATTAAAAACTAACAAAAAAAGTAAAAAATTCAATGCTTTCAACTCGAAAAAGCCCTCTGAGAGGGATTCAGAATTTCAGAAGTTCATTTGTGGGAGAAATTATTCAATTCAAAAAACCTCAATTTTTCACCCTAATTCCAAATAAGGTAACTAGGGGTCAAGTTGAAGAGCGGCTTCCTGTCTTCCTGAGGCTGTGAAACTGACATTTTTTTGATAAAAACCAACGAATTTTGCACAACGGTAAAGGTCACCCATTCGCTACTGTTCCAAAATCGGCTTCTTGCAGGTGTGAAGCATTGGAGAAGCAAATGGTGGATGGGCGAGTGTCCCTCGATCCGAACCACACGTTCGACCTTCTCGTTGGCAATATTATCAATAGAATTTTGTTCGCGGAACGTTTCGAAAAGGTGGGTTTCCAGCCATTTTTCAAACAACGAAGTCGCTCAATACACCGACTCTCCTTTAACTACCAAAAAATGAAATGGAGAAATGAACAGAATTTTTTTAATGGTGAGATTCGGGCCAGTCAAGTCGTGCATTCCCGGCATCCTTGCATCATCCGTCATTGATGAATGAAATGAACTCTTCCCAAAGATTGTCTTCCCAAGATTTCAGCTACTATTTCAGCACGACGAGGAGAGATTTTTCGCATTGAAATCCAAACTGGACAACATTTTTGACGAATTCAAATCGTACGATGTGCTAATCAACCAATGGACAGTCGGTATTCCACTGTTACGTCGAAGAGCAGATGAACTTTTGAAACCACAGAATGATCTCATGGATTTTCTTGCGAATCAAGTAGAGAGAAGGTTTGCTAGTTGTTGGCACTTTGCCCAAGAACTTCATGCATAATACGATCTTCAGAAAAAAAATGAACAGGGCAAACTTCATGTTTGTTTTCATTTTTCTTTCATCAGTTTTTTTTCTTATAGAAAGAGTGATATAGCAAGTGGTCTACACTCACTGGAAGGCGAAGGAAATGATTTCGTTGACGCTTTCCTCATACAAATGGAGAAGAATAAAAAGCTTGGCATTGCTAGCAGTTTTGAGTGCGTTTCATTTATTTATTTATTTATTTATTTATTTATTTATTTATTTATTTATTTATTTATTTATTTATTTATTTATTTATTTATTTATTATTTGCTATGCGTAAGATCCGCTATTGCCGAAACATTAACAGATCAGTACATCACTGACCTAATAAAGCAGCAGTAGAAAGTCTCGCCAAAGACAACGCTAGGGTATCTGCTTACCACATATGTAGTAAACCCTTCCTAATAAATTAGTTATAAAGATTTCCCGCGGCCGAAAGTGTGGCTTCCGCGAAGCGGGGGGGCGCACCCGTACATTGCACGGATTCACAGAACCAATCGCTTTCAGGGCTGAGCCTTTGAGTGCCAAGGCAGTTCCTATTCTCTCCGGAATCCGTCCCTCTCCGTTAAGCTCAGTCCAAGGGGCCTCCCGGAGCCACATTGCGACGAAATTCCAGGCCGTGGTTAATATTTAGCTCTGAGCGAACGTAGTGGGCAAAGTTACAGCTGGCTTCCTTGTTCTTAGGACGCCCTTCCATTCTGCGCGGTTGATGCCATCTATTTCACTACTCCTTGACTGGTAAATAGCAACATAAGATTATTAGTCCTGCCAACAAAATTTTATTACCTTTTATAAGGCTTTTTTGTTCTGGGCCTAATAAGGGCTTAACACATTTACCAGTCAGTAACCCAATGAGCTAACAATAGCCGATATAGTTTGACAAAATTTAGCATGGACCGCCCAAAAATCCAACGCGTCTCTCTCCGGTTTTGGTTTGCTTAATCATGTTGTATTCATGGCTTATCTTTCTCGTCACGTGAATTGACAAGCACCAGCGCTCACTGATATTACCTTCATCTGGTAAACTACATGACATTCAAAAAAAACACAAATATCTTCCACTCACCGAAGAGCATTTAATCTGAAGGGTATGGTGAAAATAGAACAGCAATAAATGCAGCTACTCCCACAATTTTGTCCCTTTAAAGGAACGTAATTCATAACGATAGTAAAACCAGCCAACACCCTTATTGTCAGAATTAAAACTAGGCGATGTGGCTGAAGTCCACTCCACCGCAAAGAAGGAAGAACCAAATGAGAATACGGCCCAGAACCGAGAAATGGACCCCTCCCATGCCTGTTGCAGTATGCGAGACAATTTGTATGGCAGACTTCACCCCATTCCGCTGCGCCGCGTTTACCGCTCTCTCTTCAACCTACGCTCTCTCAGCTATCTAATCACTCGCCACGTATTGAACTACGGCGAGTGATCAGATGATCGGTGGGCGGAGATCGCCGGACCCGCCAACTTTGAGGCATAATAGGTCGCCGAGGTCAAATTTTTCGATGCGAATTGCGCATCAGTTCGCACCCTCAGGAGGTCCGTGGTTACTCAACTAGGTAAATTACTTCTTCCTCGACCTCCATTCTAATCGAAATCCTCCTTTAAAGGGATTTTACGAATGAAAAAGCAGCCCATTGGAAATTTAGTTAGAGCTGGACAGTGATGCACAAAAGGAGAAAAACCGAGAAATATGGCTCAGAACCCGAGGAATGGGACCCCTTTCTTACACACTGATTGGCGCTGCGACTATCATCGGTGCTACCTTTTACGCTTTCCACAAGAAAGTTGGCGTGACACACAAATACTCAGACTTAACCAAACAGAACAGTCCAAAATCCTCTTTCTAACTCCCTGGCAAAGCGGCCTAGAGATTCGAGACACGGACGAGAGGGGGGGGAGTGCACCAACAGCCGCCGCCAATTTAGTCGTGGGGAAAGCATGGCTAGGTTGCCGGGGGCATATCCTTCTATGCGAATTGCGTGTCGGTCCGCATCCTTAGGTGATCTGCCTGTTTCTTCACTGGGAAAATCACCCTTCATCGACGTTTGTCGCTTAATCGTGAATCCTCTTAAAGTCAAAAATTTAGGAATTCGATACACCTCAATTTTCTTTTCAAGCAATTACTACGAGGTATCCAGTACTCCAGCAACCAGTGAAAAGTCTTCTCCTCGATTCAGTGTTCACAGCTTCTTTATGGCTTTTCGCTCCTCACCCTCATCTGAAGGCACAGTGTTCACAGCTTCTTTATGGCTTTTCGCTCTCACCCTCAGTCAGAAGCACGGGTCGCGATTAGATCCTTAGAAATATTTTTTGTGTTGTGTGATGTAGCAGGACCCCTCATCACAAGTGTGGTGGTACTGTCACGATTTGCAGGTGCGCGAAAGGGATTTAACGCCTTTGCTTCACCGCTGCGATCGCTGCCACGCTTGTCAATCGCAGTATACGTGGCGTCTGCGCCCTCTCGCGTACACGTGCTCTCTCGCGTTTCCCCTCTCCTCGCAGCGCTGTGTCTCTCCATCGCACCATGGTCGACCTCACAGGAAAAAAATTTCAGGGTTTCTTTTATGGTGCTTCTTGCTTTTTCGCCACTAACGTTCCTATTTGCACTCTTTGATTTTTTTGGACAAAATACCACACCAGTTGGATTGCGACCCATGCCTTTAGATTCAGCAGCCATTGATGGATGGTGATTAAAAATTAAGAATTATATTTTTAAGCGATGAATCTTTGACACATACACTGCTTGATTTATGGGCAGCTGGTCAGGAAACCACAGCAACAACACTGAAGTGGGCCTTCGCCTATCTTCTTATGTATCCAGAGGTATGCCCTATTCATTTCAACTTTCCAGTCGGCTTTCGTTATGAATTCTGAAAATTAATGACAACCTGAAAAGTTGTCGATTTTACGAATAACGCCTGCCAACTCATAAACAGTAAATAGTTTGTTTATGAAGGTAATCGATTGATTTGTTCCAGGTGAAAGCCAAGGTGGAGCAGGAACTCCGAAGTGTTACCCAATCCAACCGGCCGCTTTCTCTTGCAGATCGAACAAGCACTCCGTACTTCAATGCGGTGCTGACCGTAGGTTTTAGAATGCTCCCGAAATCACCTCCTGCCCTCACAACCTCGTGTTTTCAGGAGATCCATCGATGTGCAGCGATCTTTCCTATGAATCTTTCAAGAAAAGCAGAGGGAGACATATCCGTTGGGAAGTACACAATACCTACGGAACCTCTATTAATGTGCAGCTGTCACTTATAATGTCAGACACCGCCTATTTTCCGGATTTCTCTAAGGTAACTATACTCTATTTCGGAAAACGAGAAGAGCGTCGAGTGCAGACCACACACCACAAGTGACGACGGCCAAGAAAAAGTGCTTTTTTTCTTGGCCGTCGTCACTTGTGGTGTGTGGTCTGCACTCGACGCTCTTCTCGTTCTCCGAAGTAGAGATTCCATTCTACAAGCATCAACCTCGCGATTCCTTCAGATCGAATTCTCAGAGGATTTTTACGCCTTTCCTTAACTCATTCAGAATCTCTTTGTCCCTCGTCACCTTCGCTAGTTTCCTTCGCAGCATTCTTCATTATTCTTCTTCTCCTTCTTCTATTCTTCAGTCCATTTCCTTTTTTTCTGCTTTTCATTATTTTTCCTTTTCATTTCCTTTATTCACTATGTCGAACCCCTGCTTCTTATTTCTTCTAATTCTAAAATTGCCCTGTTCTTCCCTACCCCCCCCCACCATACTTTCCTCTGTGTTTTCTCCTTGTTCTCTATTCGCGCAGGCATGAATTCTTACAGTTCTAGAAGGACAGTTTGAATGGGCAAGCGAGTCACATCAGTTACTGCAAAAAAACGAAAGCCATAAGTCATTGGGTAAATCAGGCGGGAAGTAGAGGCTCAGACCCACTTAATGAGCCTTTACGGTGGCTAGAAGCGCTAGGCACGCAAGTGTAGGGGTCGCGTCACTTCCCTACTTCGAAAACCGTTATTTAGACGCTAGGCTCTAAGAACTTTGACACGCTCCACCTGCTGCGACACGCTCCGCCCACCGCTCGATATCTTGACTGCGTCGGAATGTTGATCTGCTATGCTCTCTCTACTTAGACTTCTCTAGCGCTCTCCGCGCTCACATTATCTCTCATCTCCCTGCCGGCCTTTTGAACTTCTCCGCACCGTAGAGGAAATGGCTCGTATTTCCTAAGCATTTCACGATTTCTTTTTCTCTTTTCTGCACTGGCGGTCCACTACCTACCCCTACTTTCACATTTAAGTGGAATTAACTCATAATTCAATCCTGAATCTTGCCTTTAAAGGGCAAGATGGAAGATGACTGAGTTAATTGAGCCTTTCCTTCTGGGGACATGAAGGTCGGCATGGTGTGGCATGCTGTACCATGCAGGATTCGATCTTCTCGGATATGCGTACTGTAAAATTGGCTCTTCCCTTACACCCGTAGTCCGCTTGCAGCAATTTATTTTTTGCAAAAGACTATCGAGTATGTCTCCTCTTTCCTAACTGCTTCACTAACTATTGTATGGAAGGTGAAAATGTAGTTCGGGGGGCACCCTATCTAATCGAAGTGAAGCTGCGAAAGACACTCATATCTAATCAAAGTAGAGTTGCGGGAAGGCACTTATATCTTATCATATCTTTCACTAAGACCGTGACCACTGGACTAGTACGCTTACCCTTGTCATATGGTCAGGGGCTAAAATGGCTGCTACCCTGCTGGCTCCTTACTTTCATCAAACCTTCTTGCGACTGCCATGCAAGCCCTCGAAGAAAGGGCCTCCCAGGTATCCGATTTTTGTATGGAACCACGGATTGGTATCCCTATCTAATCATACACTCAGAGACTGTGCTCTGGATGGTGATTAGATATGACCGCCCTACCGCAGCTCCACTTCGATTAGATAGTTGCCAGTTCGATTAGATATTATGAGTCCCCCCCCACTACAAGTTTCACTATCTTCCCGTACTGAACGGCTTCTGTTTACGTGGAAACAGCAAGTTTAATTGAAGCAATAAACTATAGTATGCAGTATTACTGCAACAAACGCCTCTTTTAGTTCGATCCGGACCGCTACATGACAGGACAAAAACTGGAAGAACAAGTCGTTCCGTTTGGATTGGGAAGAAGAGCGTGTCTTGGGGAATCTCTAGCACGATCTGAATTGTACCTTGTGAGTTCATGTTTATTGTGTCAATCGTTGTTACGCAGAATCGAAAGTATCGGCAATATTAGTTTCAAAAAACATCTGGGTAATCAGCTTACTAAATTGAGGCAAGGTCGGGGATATGCGGTTAAATTGACGCCTTCACCTCTTAGAAAAATGCTGTGGTATGCAGCATGTGCACGATGCTCAGATATGATTTGATAAAACCGAGCCGCTTAAGTGAAGGGTGACGGTTGCAGCATTTTGACGGCCACCAAAGTCAGCTTGCTACCTTAACTAAGCCGCCTACGGGGAAAACATTAGTTTTCGTTCTCGATCTACTATTTCTTTCCGTTACTTTTATTACTGCGCCGTGAGCCACATCACAGCTTTACCTCATGCGTTAAAACCTTACCAGTTTGATCCCGAACTTTGCCTTTGGACAAAAATTCCATTGCCTCCATACGCTATTATCAAAGATGATAACTTCCAGATAATTGGAAACCTGCTTCTACGGTTCAACGTATCCAGTGATCCGGATCATGTACCAGTGAACAAGGCCAAAGCGCTGTTTGGAGTCGTTCGAAAAGTCTCTCCTTACCATGTTGTGTTCAATCGTGCTTAATCATATGTCTTTCCCTGCTGATCTTTTTTGAGATGCTGGAGGCTACCTCAACTACGGTTCAATTTTTCGTGCACTGAGTGCAATGGAGTAAAGATTTTTGCGATGTTGAAGTTCTCTGCATGATAAAGGATAAAAGGATAAAGCATTTGCCGTTGATCAATCCCTTTTTGGGATGCGGCACGCATTCTACTTCCATTTGTACATTCGTAGTGGCGTTTGAATGCGATGTGGCCTATACAATGACTTGCGGGGGCCAGCCGATGTACAAGTCATCCTCCCAGACAAGTCTGGTACCAATTAACCGACCCCGGAGGGATGGAAGGCTTGGTTGGCCCTGCACGACCCAGGAATTGATCTCCGGACCGCTCGCGTGGTAAGCAACGCCACCTGCCATTATACCAGTTCCGTCCTGTGCATAATAGGCACTGAAAACACCAACGAAATCGAGACAATTCCTTCTATAGAAAAAAGAGCATTTTTCAGTGGAATTTCAAGAAGTTATTCAAAAACACTACCGCCCTGCGCGGAATCCTTGGGTGCAGGTGCGAAATTTAACAATCTTAGCATATTTCACAAGAATGCTGGGTTGTGAACAAAACTTTCGCCCCAGGCGGGACTAGAACCCGCACCTCTCGCTTTAACCCAGCATTCTTGTGAAACATTCGCAAGGCGAACTGCGGCCAAAAACAGCAGTTAACAAACAAAAACAAATCTTAGCATACATTTTCATAAAGAAGGTTTTATTGCATGATCTGTCTCGGTTAAGGATGGGACACCCTTGAAGATCCTCTACTAACTTAACAAAGCATGTTTATTCATTCGCTTCTACAATGCTATAACCATTTGTCAAAAATAGAAAGAATGGTTTTCCTGTGAGTGATGAGATTCTCCGGCTTCATACATGATTCGTGATTTCCATCGATCTGAATATATAAATAAACACCAATGACGATCGCTGATTACAATGCAATATGATTATAATATGAATAATTGATTATGAAATATAATATGAATAATTGATTATGAAGTACAGTTGAATACAAAATCCACAATTTACCATTAGTGAAATCTCTCAGAAGACTATTGAAATGTTAAGCAGTCATTTTTCCTGCTTCAAGTTGGTCTTATAATAAAGTCGAATTGTTAACTTCGATCCATTACCTGTATATGTTGCCCTGATGTTTATGAGGCTCCTAGAGAGAGTGGGAAGAGAACGAACTTTCGGAATTGGGGTGAAAAGGTCGGTCAAGCTCTTATCAGCTCCCACCTCTGGTTAGTGATTATTTCAATGGCATCTTTATGGAGGCTTCATGAGCGGTTCCCAAGCCCACCTACGGCTTGATTTAGTAAGTTCGCTCGAAGGCCAAATCAGTCCCCTGTTAAACAGAGGGTAAGGAGACCAAGTGCGA